CGTCTGGCCTCGGTAAACACTAACATGAGGTAAAGACTAAACCAGAACTCAACCAGGATCACAGCAGGACTATAAAGGACTACACCAGGACTAAACCAAGTCTGAACCAAGATTGAAGCAGGACTGAACCAGGATTGAACCAGATCTAAGCCAGGACTGAACCAGGACTAAACCAAGACAGAATCAAGATTAGACCAGGACTAAACCAGGATTAAATCAAGGTGCAAGCAGGGTAAACAAGGACCTTAGCAGTACTATAAAATAAGAACTGAACCAGGACTAAACCAGGTCTGAAACAGGACCAAACCACGAGGAAAACAGCACTAAAACCAGGACTAAATCAGAACTACACCAGGATCTTGTCAATACCACTGCATATCTCATCAACGATAATAAGGAAATAAATGAGGGATTTGGACTGAACTTGGTCCAAAACAGATGCAGATCTCGGTCTGTACTAAATAAGGGTTACATTTGTATTAAAGTAGAGCTGCAGGTCTGAGCGACGTCTGAACCCAAAATAAGAACAACTTCAACATTTGATCATTTTGACTTTGATTCTCATTCAGACTCGTGTATGGAAAGATGCACTCATGGTCCAACTCTTCTCTCAGTACACTTTGAACAGTAAATCATGGCTGTAGTAATGGTAGGAATAGTACAAGGACAAGTACAGTATTTGAACAACATTGAACTAAGGCTGTGCAATTAATTGAATTTTGATCATGATTTTGATGTGGGTGTCAAACAATCTCCAAACTCATATAATTGAGTTGAAATAATTTAAAGATTAACAAAGTTTATTTTGGGATATTTATTATGTAAATTAGTATATTTATTGAATTTTTAAATATAGAGATTGCAGAACAGCTGGATACATAGTTTATTTTGGAAAAAAAAATTTTTTTCTGCCTCATGTCATGTTCAAAGTTAATTTTATTCATTTTATGTTTTATACATTGCAAAACTGCTCCAAGGTTCAGATTTGTAGTCTATATTATTTTTCGGTTTGAAAGTTTTGCATAAATTATCAATAACAAAGTGTTTTTTTGTTTTGTTTTATTTTGTTTTGTTATGTTTTTTGAGAGAGAGAAATGCTGAATAAATGCATTGTGTAACTAAAAAATAATCGTTTGAATAATCGTGATTTTACTATCGACCAAAATAATTGTGATAATGTTTTTTTTTCCAGAATCGAGCAGCTCTACATTGACCTGAAAGAAATCTCCAGACTTATTCAAAAGTTTCTCCTTCTCATTATTTGTTTGGGATTGGTTCCGCAAACTGGTCATATTAATCTTCAGGCTTAAAGTCCTTTCAGCCGACAGCTCACGTCCTGAAGCTTGAATAATGGCACCACTTCATGAAGCCATTGTCAAGAAATCATTCCACTTTCATTTAATTATACTGACAAAGAAGAAGTTGACCTTCGTGCCAATTTTTTTTTTTTTTTTTTCCAAGTGGATTTTTGTTGACCTGGTTTATGGTTCATAAACCAGGTCAATAAAAATCTGCATCGAACAGTTACAGCAAACTCCACCAGAAAATGTCAGCTCAGTGTTGAACTCCAGTGATTCTGCAATGTTTTGATGTGAAATGTGTTGCCGAAGGACACAAGGGGAGTGCACTGGTTGGAGGACAGACCCCGGCCCTGGTCCTGACCCTGTCCCTGACCTCAGTCCTGTATTATGATGACATAGTCAGACTCCCTTCCTTCCTGCTGTTTAAAGCTTGGTTTATGAGGTTCAGTTAGAGTTAAGCTCAAAGCCAGACTTAAATTATGTCCAAATATAGACACACTTTTAAATGACTGCACAGTATGCTACACTCATTTGCCATCATACTACTATTACTACTACTACTACTACTACTACTACTACTACTACTACTACTACTACTACTACTACTACTACTAGAAAAGAGGGGGTATTTGACTGCTATGAGGTATTAATACCTAACACACATCACATAATTAGATCACCATGTTGCTTTTTATGCTATATTCACCGAAGACAACATATTAAAAATTTTGACTCTCCCTTTACTCCCCGCACTTGTCACTCCCCCTTCAGAGTGCTGTCACAACACAATGAGCGTGTATCCCAATAATGAAACTACTGCACACACTCAGGTTTGTGAAGTTGTAGTGTACTGTTTTGTGTCATGTTTTTGTATATTTATGGAGAATCGTGGTGTGGGATCATGGGTGATGTAGGCTTGTGGGCAGAGCCTTGGACAGAATCTTACAGCTACATCTTACAGAGGGTTTGAACAGAATCAGGGAGAGATCACTAGTTCACTCAAACACGCATGGATGACATATAAAGACTCCAGGCCTGTTTTTTTTTTTACAAAGCAACAATGTTCAAACATTGTAGAAAGCCCACAAAGTTGATTTTGCTGAACGCCCCATCTGACACCCCAAGCTGAATTCCAGTTTGTTTCCAAAAATGGAGAATGACTTTGCCACAGTAATAATTTGTTGTCATAAAACCATCAGTCCAACCATTAATTACACCCCTCGTAACCTCCCTCTTAATAAAATACTGCGGTTTCCATCGTGTACTCCATAAAAGCAGTAAAAGTACTCAGAGCAGACAGTGGGGGGAAGTATGTGAACTATCTGAATTCATTATCGGCCTTCAAAAGCAACAAAAGGCCCTCTCTGTGTGGATCTGCGACTAGAGGAGAGGAGAAATACACTCTAATACTCAATACTGTGTACTGAATGGACAGTGGAGTGTATTCCTGGGCCAGTACACAAATATGGTAAAAAGTCAAAAGTATCAAAATCCAATTGGAATGGTTCGATATGGATTAAAAAAAAACAACAACAACAACAACAAAAAACAGATATCCAGTATGTGTTCTACTGTTCCGGTGATAACGGATATTTGCCGGTTGATCCTTTGCAGCTAATAGGGGTGTGCAAAAATATTGAAATATTGATATATCGTATCACTAAATTTGATGATACAGTATCGATATCGTAACTGCTGTATCGAGATATTGCTGAGAGTACTTTTAGGTATATTTTACTAAATTATTTTGTGTAAGAGCTACGATTGTGTTCATATTTTCGCTGTTTTGAGTAAAATGGGAGTTTTTCATATTAACTTTGCACAAATTTAGTTGAAGTATTGTACTTTTACTTTCACAGCCATGATTTAGCCTTTGTTTTTCATTGAACCATATTGAATCGATTTGAAATATATCATATTGAATCGTATTGAATCAAAAGTGCACTGTATCGAAAAGCGTATCATATTGTGGCCTATGTATCAAGATATGTATCGTATCGACAACTTCTTAACGATGCCCAGCCCTAGCAGCTAATGTCGTCCCTAGGAGTGTGATGCAAACTGAAGGCACTGCTCTGTCTGAGGCTTTGTTAGACTTTAATCTGAGCTTTATTTCAACACAGTCTGAGCAGAAAGAGGTGACTGAATTGGAACTACAACAGGTGAGCTGATTTGTGCTTTTAACAAGTCCCTCTCAGATCACCTCACAGTTACAAACTAGACAGTATTAGCCAACAGTCTTTCAGATAGTCACACGTTTTAGTTGAAAATCAAACTTCTAAATGTGACCATGAATGCTCACACTGATCACAGGTTCTTAAAGATGTGTTGTTTTTTTCTTTAGTTTTCAGATAATCTAAAAACTTTTGAACACTGTTTGTTAATGTGTGCATTGTGTCTAGGGAGACCAGATTTTCAAAATAAAAAACAGGGACACCCGAGGTTTGTGGTGGTTGGTAATAATAAAATTGTGAAATGAGTAACGCATAATTAAGGAAAATTGTTTTGGACTCGGGCGATTCATGACTAACATGTGTCAATATAGTCACATTTTCTTTGTGTTTTGTTCAATTTTAAGCAGATTTTCTGTATTTTACTTAAACAAATGACAGTTTATGACATTAAACGATATATTGATATTTCGATATTTTTGCACAACCCTAGGAGTTACAGAGAAGTTACAGAAGAAGTTTCCAGCAGTCTCAGGTTGCAAATAAGAATGTGTTGTTAATGTGTTGCCTGGTAAAATGAAGGTTCAACAAATAAAAAGCACAAATGAACTTAAAGTACAAAGGATCCCCTGGCAGAGCAGCAGCTGTAGGTAAAACCCTGAATACTTACAGTCTTTGAACTGAACTAAACCTGATTTAAAGTCAGAATCAAAGTCTCATTTACATAAAGCCAGTTAAACCTCCACACCACATTAAAGACAAAACCCCAACGTGAAGATTATGTAAAGATTATATTTATTTTCAAAAGTACACTGTGTATGTGGGGCAACCCATTTAAATACATGCATGTGTTACTGGTCAGATCTGTGGAGAGGCCAACCCCCTCACAGTAACAATGCATACTTTTCAAGGTACTTTTCAGGAAATAATACCCATACTTCAACCTTGGCAGTAATTCTATGTAACTCTGCAGTAGTAGCATCAAATATACAGGCTAGTAGTGGTTAGTGTGATTACAGTTGTAGCAGAGTACAGATTTGTAGGAGGACTAAACCAGGACTAGAACAGGACTAAACCAGGACTAAAACAAGACTAGACCAGGACTAAACTATGAACAAACCACAACACAGGAGAACCAAACCAGGACTAAACCAACAGTAAACCAGAACTAAACAAGACTTCACAAGGATTAGATGAAGAGTAAACCAAGACTGAACCAGTACTAAACCAGACCTAAATGAAGACTTGACAAGGACTAGATGAGGACTAGACCAAGACTGGACCACAACTAGTAAACCAGAGGTAATCCAGAACTACACCAGAACTAAACCAGGACTAACCCAAGGCTAGACAAGGACAAAACCATGACTAGACCAGGTCCAAACCCAGTCTACATCAGGACTACACTGGGATCAACCCAGGACATGTCTGAACATAGCCAAAATGTAACGCTTTTAAATCAATCCTTTTTTCTGTCTAAGTGCACACAGTCCCAAAGCCACAGTCCCTCTCAGCGTTTGAAACTCACCATTTTTGCAGCACTTTTTCTCTTCTCTCTTTTCAGTCTCAATTCATTGTTTCAGGTTTTACTCCTCCTTTAACTTCCACAAACAGCGGTCATTTTCAGAGCAGCAACATCTCCTCTTGTCCTTCAACTCTCACAAACCTGGAGCTCCATCCTGAACTCAAAAGGCCTTTTTAAAGTCCATGTTTTCAGTCCATGCGCTTCACAGAAACAAAGTTATGCCTCTCTCTCTTTCTCTCTTTCTCTCTTTCTCTCTCTCTCTGCAAAAGTGTGTTAGGAGGTTAGGAGCTAGGACATAGGAGGGAGGAGACGGGGGAGGAGACAAGGGAGGAGACGAGGGAGGAGCCAGGAAATCCCCTCTGGCAGTACTGCTCTCTCTCTCTCTCTCCTGTCTCTTGTTATCTCTCCTCTGTCCCTCTCTTTTTCAACTCCCAATCTCTCTCTCTCTCTCCCTTCTTTCCTCTTTTCTTTTCTCACCGTTTCTATCTTTTTTCCGTCTTCCATACCTTCTCCCCTCTCTCACTCCTCCCCTTTCTGCTTGTCTCTCTTTTTCTTTCACTCCCTTCTATATCTTTATCCCCGATCTCTCTCTTTCTCTCCCACACGTTTGTGCTGTTCTCTTTCTATTATTTTATCCTCTCTTTTTCGAACTCCTTCTCTCTCCTCTCTCTTTCTCTTGTCATCTGTCTCTCTGTCTCTCCCCCTTCTATCTCTCTATCAACCTCCACTCTCCTTCTTTCCCTGTCTGTCTCTCTCTTCTTCCCTTAATCACTCCCAGCTCTCTGTCCCCTCTCTCTTTTTTTCTCACACCTTCTATCTCTCTATCCCCAAACTCTCTCTTTCTGTTACTCCCTCTCCCCTCCTCTGCCCTCTTCTCTCTCTCTCTCTCTCTCTCTCTCTCTCTCTCTCTCTCTCTCTCTCTCTCTCTCTCTCTCTCTCTCTCTCTCTCTCTCTCTCCACCTTTCTCTTATTTCTCACCCTGTCCTCCTCTCACGTCAAACCTCTCTCTTTTTCTTTTCCTTTCTTACCCCATCCCCCTCTCTCCTCCCCCTCCTCTCTTTCTCTCTCTCTCCTCCTCCTCTCCTCTTTCTCTAGCCTCTTCTCTCTGTCTCTTCTCCCTCTCCTCCCCCTCTTCTCTCTCTCTCCCTCTCTCAGTTCTAGTCGTTCCTGCTGTTTTATCACGTGGCCTCTGCACCTAAATAAACAACATGGGACAAACGAGTGGAGGTTAAAACTCGCAGTAAAAGTACACACCTGTTAGTACTGAAAACAAGCAGCCCCGGGGAAGTACCTCGAAGTATGTGTAGTATCTGGGAACTACCGGCTCATGAACTACACATACTTCTGAAGTATGTGCATCTACGCCAAAGTACTGACATCAGATACATTTGCCCCCCTCACAGGGACAGACAGGAGCAGACAGGAGCAGACAGGTCCAGACAGGAGCAGACAGGGGCAGACAGGGACAGACAGGGACAGACAGGGGTAGACAGGAGCAGACAGGGAGCAGAGCCAGAGGCGCAGACAGAACCAGACAGGAAGGACAAGAGATAAAGAAAATATTCCAAAATAGCTGTGGCTGGAGCACAATCAAACCAAGCCCCAAACAGGAACACATGTCAGAGCTTTCCTCAAATCACCGACCTGAAGCACTGAAGCTGAAACAATACAACACTGGACTCACGTTTCAGTTCAACTATGAAGAACCAAGGTTTTCTGGCACCGGGAAAATCTACTGGGGCCATATTAGACTATTTTCTGATCTGCTCTAATGTCTTTTCCTCATCAGAAACACCGCAGGAGTTGTGTTTTGTTTTATGTTTAATAACACACAAATCTGCACATTTAAGATGAGTTCTTCCTTCAAACTGTTCCAACTTGTGATGTTGTGGTGATACAGGAAGTGCCCCACTGTGTTTTTAAACTCCACACAACTTCAATGGAATCATTTGGATCTTTTCAGTTCTGGAATTGCTGATATCTACTGAACTAAAGGGAAAAGGAGTTGTTCACTTGAAAACTACCACTTTTGTGTCATTTAAACATTTGAAGATGAGAACACAGACCTTAAAGCAATGTACAATTTATTATGTCTGAGCATATATTTGGCCACTGCATCTTCCAGGGACTCGTCTACAGATCTGAAGCTAGTCTTGGTCTGGAACTTAGTCTTGGTCTGGACCTTAGTCTTGTCCTGGACTTTAGTGTTGGTCTGGACTTTAGAGTTGGTCTGGACTTTAGTGTTGGTCTGGACTTTCGTGTTGGTCTGGACCTTAGTCTTGGTCTGGACTTTAGTCTTGGTGTGGATCTTAGCTGGAGGATTTGGCCTGTTGTTGTGTTTCAGATGACATCATAGGCAGACTTTACAGAACACAGATGTGGGCAGTTCACATGAATCGAGTTCAAATGCGGCTTTTGTTGAAAAACACTCAGGTCTTGAAATGACCAGGTTCAACAGTTTGATGAGGATCTGACTCCTGCCCCTGTCTGTGAGGATGACATCATCACATGAAATGGTTTGGGTTTTGGCTCGACCGGGAAGGAAATGCACCCAGACACAGAGAGAACATGCAAACTCCACCCAGACACAGTGAGAACATGCAAACAGAAGTGGGGAGTCGACCCTGTGAGCCTTTGTGAGTCGAGGATGAAGCCACGATGTTTTTTTGATACAAACATCATGTCTGTACAAAAGCCCGCTCCGCTTCTGCTTCCTGTTTACAGGCACCATTTTGAGTACTTTCACTTTATAAACACACAAGTGTGTGTTTGTGCACTCGATTGTTTTTAATGTCTGGAACCATAGGACATAAAATAGACAGCGACATTCCTGCAGAAAATAATTGCCCACTCTTCTGAATATTCTCCAGTAAGTACATGCACATTTTAAGCATGTGGACATTTAGTGGAACACTGTGGTCTTGCTCACTGTGGTCTACAGTTTCAGTGTGTTTCAGAGCCACAGCCCCAGGACGGTGCACTTCCTCTGCTCCTCACTCCAGCTCAGAACAAACACTAAATGAAACCACACGGGTCTTTGTCATGAGGGTGTGGAACCCACCTGGACCACTGAGGATCACACACACACACAAGGTCACACGGGAAGAGAAAAGAAAGTACTAGCATTTCATCTAAAGAAAGAGTGTTTTTATCATCGCCATGGTGTCAGAATCAATATTGAGTATGGAGTCTCTTTTTAATAATAAAGTGGTAGTAATAGTCCAATCTGTTCTCGAGCTCATTTAACATTTTTGGAAATATTTATTAAGCAACACTGGACCAAAGTTCCTGTTTAACCCCGAAATCAAGAGTTATATTAATGTTTTGAGAGTAAACGGAAAAGACTTTGTAGGGTTATTCTGATTTAACTAAACAACACACAAAGGTGTTTTATTTTTACACTTTATTTAAGTCAATTTAAAATGAAATTATGCACAAATTTGGTTCAAACTGGTCTTCTCTTGTGGGAGCTGTGGTGGGTGGGAGGAGCCAAATTAACACTAAGGAAAGTTGAATTAACTTCAACCAGATCAACTCTGCCAAATAACTCCAACACATATTAACTTTCAAATAGTTAAAATAACACTTTATGTGTTAAAAACAACTTTTACCCTGAAAATTTTAACCCTTGTTAAAAGTTTTTGTTGTGCACAAATGCACGCACACACGCACACACACGCACACACACACACACACACACACACACACACGAGCACACACACACACACACACGTTTCCTGTCCAGACTCATGGATAATATCTTCTCAGACGGAGATGGCTCCAGACTTTGTGTATTTGTTCAGTTCATTCCACAAACTGCACTTGTGCTGTTGACTGTTACTGTTAATGTCACCTCAACACATTTGGACGTGTGATGTATGACTTAAAGGAGCCATATTACTGTGTTTTCTGATCACAAACAGACCTGGAGATGTGTTTTGTTTCATTCAGAGACATTTGAGTTTTGGAGATGCATACAGACAAATAATAAATTATGAATAAATGAAACCGAACACAACTCCAGGCATGTTCTGGAGGAGGTAGCAGCATTCTAACACGTCTTAAAGCTCATAAGAGTCAGTTTTGAGTCATATTGGACATTTAAGTGCATGTGTTTTGAGTTGTGAGAGCTGTTGATCCATCGGAGAACACAAGAAGAAATAATACTGAATGATGTTCCATCTTTTACTGCACAACTGATAAATGGATATAGTGGTTATTATGACATGCCTAACTACTATTATCCTCCTCCCCTTTCTCTGTCACCCTTTTTCTCTTCTCACTCCCCTCTTTTCATCCGCCTCTCCTTCCTCTCTCCTTTCTCCCCACTTCTCTCTCTCTTCTCCTTCCCCTCTCTTCCCCTCTCCCTCTCTATCCTTCTTTGCAGTCTCTCTTTCTCTGCTTCATCTCCCCTCTCTCCTCTCCTTCAGTCTGTTCTTCTAAGCTCTTTCTCTCCTACATTCCTCAGATGTTTTGCTTCACGTACAGAAAGCCATGTTAATGTCTCTTTGACCCTAAACCTCCCTGGTATTCAGCCTCTTTCTCTTCTGTCTTCAAAGTGTTTTAATAAAAAACAGCCGATGTCTCAGAGGGATAAACAAACTTATTATAGATATTTTCTCCAGACACTTTTTGTAAACACATGTTCTGAGGTCCATGGGATTCTGGGATTGGTTTGGCACATTTCAGTCTTCTCTCTAGACTTGTTTCCATGTGCTGACCTGAAGTGCATCTGATGAGGTTTGGATCATGCTCTATTTTGACTTCATGTGGTGGATAACACCTGTTGCAAATATAAATGATACTTTTACACCAATCAGCAAGCAAAAGCTGAAGATATAGTTAAAGATAACAGGAAGTAGAGTTCTGTTTTATTTACAGTGCTCTCTGGTGTCTCTCACACTGAGGAAAAGGCCAAATGTACACAAGAAACACATTTTTCAGATACTTTCAACATGTATTCAACTAAATAAAGGTGTTCTCTTATATTTGTATTTGTATGATATTCATTTCTGTGAACATTAGAGGATTTTGGCTCAATGTATGACATGGTTGTGGCAGAGAATGGAATTCCCTAGTGTCATTAATTAATTAATCAGTGCATTTATATAGCACTTTCAAGTACTTCACAGATCATTATTCATTCACTCCACACTCAGTGGTGAGCTACTATTGTAGTTACAGCTGCCCTGGGGCAGACTGATGGAAGCGAGGCTGCCAATCAGCACCATCACTAACACCACTCACGTACACACCACTTTCATACTTGGCAATGTGAAGTGCCTTGCCTAAGGACACAATAACCCTGGCACCCTCCTGTGGCACCAGATTTTCTCAGTGGTCTCTATCCAAGTCCTGACCAGGCCCAGTCCTGCTGAGTTCCTGAGATCTGATGGGATCAAGCTTTAACAAGACAGTAC